ATATATATATAGAGAGAGAGAGAGAGAGAGAGGGGGAGAGGGGGAGGTTGAGTTCCAATGAGGATGAAAGTCTTTAGTGAAAAAGGTAAGAATGAATCTTCACCCTTGGATCAATCTCAATTAAAGAGAACCACTAGATCAATTTCTTTCTAAAGTGCAATTCATGAGTTGTTTTGAGATTAAAAGTGATCAATGATCCAAATCTCTTTTTTCGTTTCGCAACTTAACTCTTATTTCCACACAATCCTTCGGCTATATATATATATATATATATATATATATATGTGTGTGTGTGTATGTGTGTGTTTGTGGGGGGTTGGATTCATGTAAGACTCGTAAGACCACATTTTTATACTTGAAACTTCACAACAAAACAAACATTCACGTCAAAGTTTCAAGTATAAAAAAATGGTTTCACGAGACTCACGAAAACATGTTGGTCTCACATGATCTCAAGTCTCTATATATGTGTGTATGTATGTGTATAGATGTATATGTATATAATTCTATAAATGATATACAAAGATTTGTCGAGACAAGTTGTAGTTTGGATAAAAACTCCAGTTTTATTGTGTGGTTTATATTTGTGCACTAGCTTTCCAAAAAAGAGACTAGTAATGGAATTGGTTCATTTACTTCTGAAATGGTTTGTAAAGTTAATATTATGTTTTAATTAATTACATCTGTCGACGAGTTCTTTACCACGCTAAATATACATACGAAATCGCATTCATAATACTGATTCCACCAACAACCAGAATCATACAATCATTGGACTACTACATACGATGAAACAAACTACCGACAAAGATGAAGCAAAACGCCACCAAAAATTGACATAAATATCCACTCGAAAGTAGGTGGCTGGATGTAGACAGACATGAAAGAACAAAAACTTGTCCCGATATATGTGTTAAGGAAGCGGGGGGCAGGAAACAACAGAAACTTGTTGCAGACTTCTAGACTGGAACAAGATTGGTAAATAACTAAAATACTGATTTCAAATTACAATCAATTTTACCTTTATACAATTCTTTCACCAGTCAATCTCACTCTCGTTTGCCACTTCTGATATATATCCCAAACGCACCCATACATAAAGACCCATCGTAATCACAAACGAAAAAAATTTAGTAAAATAGACATAGAAGCAGTAATCTCGTACAACCAAGCTATGCGGTGTACGTGACAACTATCAGTTAAAGAAACTCAGCTATTAGAAACTACCTAAAAGATGCAAAGAAACATCCAGATTTCATTGAGAACATTTATAAATCCAGAGAACTGCGAAAGCATACACATAAAAAGGGAAAAATAGAACCAGTTTACCAGATCATATATAGTTTGTACCTGCTTCTGGTGGTGGTGATTGCTGCCATGGGAAACCACCTGATTCCACATCCTTGCTTGTAGCACTTGAGAAAGAAGATTACCAAACCATACCCAAATACAAACTCACAAAAAAAAAAAAAAAAACATCCAACGGTGGCTACTGGCTAGTGCAGTGAAATAGCACCATTGAAGAATGGTAGAATCACTGAATCTAACAAAGGGAATACGTGAATACGCTATTTGACAAACAGCTACTAGCTCATGGTGATAATTGTCATGGTATCAAAATGAACAAGGAAAATGTGCCAAAAAATCAGATGGGAATATTGTATGAGGGCAAACTGTGGATGCTACTTTTAAAAAACCTGTCTCAGAATCGATGAAAAGGAATGAAATATCATTAGAGGAAATTTTAGATAATTTCCAAGTGTAGATTGATTATAGTAACGACGGATGAAGTTGTTTGTGATACCATCCATGATTTCTGATGTTCTTAATGCATCAAGAATTCTTCATAATCTTGGATCATTTTGCCATAAGAGTTGATAGCACCGATTATAAGAAGGTTAACAAGTCAAAAGATTACCCAGAAGGCATACCATCAAGATCCAAATTGCAACTGCTTGGACAAATGCATACTGGCCTAATGACCCTAGTATTCAGTTCTTTTGAGCCTAAACAATCAACATCAATAACGAGTCTTATAGCATGTTTTATGTTCAGAAGCGAGTTCTAATATGTTGTCACTTATGGGATGTCAGCAGTCGACCTAGCATAACTAGACTGGAATTGGAATTTAGGTACATATCTGACTTGAATTTACTATTTAGGCCTTCTCAGAATGATTTTCCTCATGCCGGGTACATTGGAAAAATGATCAACTGTTAGCTAAGAATGATCCCCAAATATTTAGACGTTACAGGAGATGAGAAGACTAAACATCAAAACATAGATAAGGTGACTAACGCATGTATTTATACATCAAACATGCACTAGCATGCATATTTGTAAGTCAGAAGATGATATACGAAAAAAGACAGTAGAGACAAAGAAGAGGATGCTGCAACTCAGATAGAGCTTGGTGGAGCGTTTACATGATGGACCTGACAGTGTGTTCACATAGAAGGAAGACTGATTGAGTTCATAGATGAAATGCATCCTTCTGCTGTAACACAGAGACATGGACATGAAATGAATATTAGATAGTACACTATAATGTAAATGTAGAGGAATGATGTTCATCACTCACTTCTATGCTAACATGTGGACGATTGGGGTGCGTTTCATATGAAGTAAGGACGAGACAGGACAGTACAAATACTTGTTGCCCCACATTTGGCACGACATTAGACTGGAATAGGACCTGAGCTAAAATATGTGGAACAAAAATCAAAAGATGGGACAAGATTGGTAAATTACTAAACTAACCGTGTCGAATTAAACCCCTAAAACCTTCCACAATACTTTCACACGCCTATCTCACCCTCACCCCTCCTAGTAAATCCGCTCTACATAATTATAGATGAAAGGCAAGTTTTAATGTTCTCCGATCAACTATTTGGTATCCAATTATCCAAGCTAGTTAAGGGAATAGAATTATCCAAATATCCAAGGGGATAGAGGCTTGTTAATATGACATCATTATACAACAGATTATGTCTGCAGATAGGATATTCGAATTATTAAAATACCCCTAACAACCATTATGACATGATGTAGCCTTTCAGGAGTCAACAAACAAAAGCATATTGTTCACGCAATGTGCAACAATCGACTAAGTTGTCAAAAGGGGATGCAAGAGTAGGTAGATGTCCTATGAATGTCAAATCCATTTGAAAGAATTTAAGTGCAATCAGTAACCCTTATATATATAAAGTTACCAAATTAATAAATAGAGGTTGTATATCTATTTAGTTTGTTATGATGCCCCATATATCGGTAGAATAACAACCTAAGCATTTCTATTAGAACAAGTTACCAATTCTCTCTCAATAAAGCTGATAAAAATTTGTGTCCTTTCATAAAATTATAGACCAGGAATGAAGAAACCTAATATGTAAGAAACATACAAATTGTCAGAGAATTGAGACGATAAAACAAGAAGACAAGTGGATGGCTGGAAATAATACTAAAGATAACTCAAAAGAGTTCGCATTTGATGTTTTAGTGTGAAGTGGGTTATTTTTAGATCAACATTAGTTTCTTGTAGAAAAACAGAAAACTACGATAAACTACATAAATAGTAATAGTATACAATAATTTTCAGGATAAATAACTAAAGGAATATATTCCAACAACTAAATTTGGAAGTCATAGGTTTTAAAGCCTAAAAATAGAAGTGGACTCATAAAGCAAAGGGAGTGACATTAACAAATTAGAAATGTAGAAAGTCCTTTTCTTTATTTCCTTTCAATTTTACTATTATTTCTTTTCCTGGATAAAAGGAGGGGTACATAGAGGGATGTAAAGAAAAGGCAAAGAAAGAGACCCCCTCCTTAATCCATTACTACTCTCAAAAGGGCTCTATTCTTCATAGGTTGTACTCCAATCCTATGTAGGAAGACTTCTCTTTCTCTAGAGTTATCAAGAGAATTCACTTATGAAAAAACACCACTGATATCAATCTTGGTTCATTCCTTGTCTAGATCTACCTTAATCACATAATTTTCTCATCGTGTAGGCCTAAATGCCTCAGCATAATTTTCTTTGAATTTCTAAGCAGGCCAAACACCCAGACATGATGTCAATTTTGTTTCATTCCTTGTCTAGATCTACCATAATCACATAATTTCTCATCATGTAGGCATAGATGCCCCAGCATAATTTTCTCTGAATTTCTAAGCAGGCCAAACACCTAGACATGCTGGATACGATTGCTGGATAGGGAGGGGACTATATATATATATANTATATATATATATATATATATATATATATATATATATATATATATATATATATATCTTGAGTGGGAAATGGTAAACTAGGAACACAAAGTGTAGTATACAGGCTTGATATCGCATTTTCGAGACCAATCGTTTCAGGACAAGGAGTACCTACCGAGTAAGGATTTGATCCTCATCAGCATAGCACCATAAAATCCGACAAAAGAAATTCTAACTACTGGCAGTACTAAATTCCACACCCATTCTTGCCTAAAGGTCCAATTGAGATGTTTAAAGAAAAGTGAATCAAAAAATAGAGCATAGATGTTAGATAGAATTCTTTCACAAGTCAGATGCATTACGCAGGATCAAGAACAAATTCAGAACTCATAAGCATAACAGACGGGGTGTATTTTCTTAAATTCATAGAGCGCATGGGTTAGTTCAATTTGACAAATAGGCAAATAGCATGAAGAAAATGGTGAAAGAAGGATTGATTTCAGTTTAGAAATGAATCTTGAATTATATAGAATGAACTCTGAAGGTAAAAAATACAAGTCTCAGGGTACTGCATTTTCTCTTATTTTTACCACAGCTGCAAAAAATACCTTTTGCTTCAGAATCACGTATACCATGTCAAGAGGTTATCAAGAAGATCAAGCAGCTAACCCTTTTCAGAATGCATCACTTAAGAAAGGATTACACCGAAGATTCAAAGAGCAAGAGGAAACACCAATTATCATGACTAATATTATGATAGAACAGTACCGCACGAGCATCAACTTTCATGAAGCATAATAATATATGGATAAGATAGAATCCGCACAACCGAGAACAAGAGTTATTAAAAGAGTATGGGATGAAAGAAAAGATCCTATTAAAGTTTTAAGACGAGTGCCGCTGGATAGAGCCTAAGATGAATCTTGGCAGGACCTTGCATGCAGCCAGTGATGAATCTTCCTGGATGATCTTTATAATACTTAGGAAGAAAAGAAAATTCCAGTAGAAAGAACCGAAGAGAATGAGATCCATTTCTTGAGTAAAAAAACCTAACGACGCTAATGAGGCCAACATCTGAAGGAGGTCCCAGGATTTTAAACCAAAATTCACCTTCTTAATATATATCCTCACAGATTATGTGGCCATTATGAAAGCCTGGATCAAGTTTTCAGCTGCACGCTTTTGCTCAGGTGTCCCCGATATCAGAGCCACTCGATCACCTCGGAATGATTTGGAATCAGATATCTCTACAGCAGCTCCAGATATCTGGAAGAGAAGAAAACCCCAAATGAGAAAACTGATTGATCCATAGAAATTCCAGACAGAGATGAATTAAAATGGTAGGGAGCATTACCCTTTCTAATGACCATGTAAAGCGAAAAGTAAAAAAGCTAATGCCGTAAAAGATCTCTTAAACTCAACTACATCATCCCACCACCCCAACCCCAAAAGAAATAATGGATTGCTTCTTTAGGGACTCAAATCAGATGATTCTATTCATCAAGAAGACATATTTGAACGATAAAACATGCAAGTAGTTCCAAATCTAAGCTACTCCATTCACAATCCTAAGCAGAATGTTAGATAGTAGTTAATCTCTCTAATTTCACAGATTATAAAACAAAAACATGAAATAAAAGAAGGTATGGAAATCACCTTACGAATATTGTCTACATTGGCTCCACCTTTACCCATCACTTTACCCACCGCATGAGCAGGGATCAACATCTCAGAAGCAGATGGAGGTAATCTGGTTGACATCAGAAATTAAAATAACAAGAGAAATAATTCAGAAATACCCAAGAGAGATGGTATGAATGATATTTCAGGAAAAAGAGTACCCACCCTCCATAGAGCTTTGACGAATATGAAGACAAAGATCCATAGCCATTGTCACTCATCTGTAACCAAAAAAATCATATCTAGTTTGACAATAGGAAAACACCTTAACATATTATATGAAACAAAACCACAAACGATAGTTATATTATAAATCATGCCAATTGGATAAGTTGGCAATTGCCTGCAACATGATACCATCTATGATTTTTCTTAACCACCCTCCCTCTTTTTCATGTATTTCTATACCATTCACAGTAGAAGCTCAAGTACTCCTAGAAATTATGACCTACAAACTTTCGAATTTTATCTGCAACATAGCTGCTTAATCTTCTATGAAACCTAATCCAGAAAGTCTTCCAGCATTTACATCCCCCAAAATTTGTCATTTAGCAGCACTATATCAACTTATACTACTAGTACAAAAAAAGTAACTGCAAGTCTGGCCAATGCTTCCTCTCTTGCACTAACAAGATTCCAATTTATAATGCTAGCACCTAAATTTGGTCCTAGAATGCCTCGACATAAATGGCCCACCCTAAAGATTGCTAACATGCAATATAAATTGAATTGCATACTTAGGTCACAAGAAAAAACACAGACCCGAGCAGTATACTACATGAGGGAAAGGTTTTAAAGTACGGAAACGTGAGGCAAGGCGTTTTCCCTCCATCAGGCGAGGGCAGTCCGAGCCGTTTTCCCTCCGCAAGGCGAGGCGTAAGCCTCGAGGCGGTCCGAAGCGTTTTCCCTCCGCGAGGCGAGGCACAAGCCTCGAGGCGGTCCGAGGCAGTACGAGGCGTAAGTCTCAAGGTGGATATTAAAAATAAATAAAATAATATTATCTATGTAATACTTAGTTGATAATAATATTTAGAATCATAATGTTTCTAGTAAAGGCATTAAATACTTCAATTTAGGTAATTACTTGTTAGAGTCTTAGAGATTTTATTTTTTGATGAAAACAAATTAGATAAACAATAAAAGTTTCCCACATAAAGAGAAACATTAAAAGCCTTCTTCAATGGCTATGCACAAGGACAAAGCAAGGAGCCAACGTTTCACTTTAATGGTCAACTATCGGTAAGTATATTTTCTTTGATTTGGCATATTTTTTAACCCTAAAGTCTTGGTACCGTCTCAGCCCCGCCTCACCGCCCTCTACGCCTTAGATCCGCCTCAGTAGTTCAAGATGTAGACCGCGCCGCCTCAAGAATGTTTTTTTGACAGCCTCGCCTCAACAGTTTTTAGAAACCATGCATGAGGGTGAAGTAAGTGGCAATGTTTACTTGAGTAAGATCCACGTGTACTTTCTACTCAATCAAGTAGAAAATAAATCAACTTATCTGAAAGTTGAAGTTAGGGCTTATAATAGTATGCATCCAAACAAATTAATCAACAAACACAGTGGCATACCGGCAGTGAACCATAACCGTAGTTTGAAGAAAGCAAACCCAAGCTGCTCCCAGATTCAGCTCTATGTTCATAACCCAAAGGAGCAACTGACGAAACACTAGGCAAGACTGAAGGCACTTGAAGACCACTGCCACCAGCATACATGGAATCATTTCCTGAAGATGGATTGCCACTGCTATCCCTATCTTTCAGGACATCATCTCGAAGTCGGAGTACTATCTGAACAAGTGCATCCCTCACACTGCCAACTTCTCCAATGACCTACATGTTTAGAGAAACAATTAGAAAGAACTTGAGAGAAGAAGTGAAATAATTAACTTTTTCATGATAGAATGAAGTATACCTCAACAAGTTCATCATTGGCATCTGCACATTTGGGCTTGTCACCTTTTGATATACGAACGTCTGCTTTAGTTCTCTTACGAATTTCGTTTATGATCGAACCACTTTTACCAATAATGCACCCAATAACTTTAGAAGGCACAAGAAGCCTTATCGAAACATTTTCCTCATCTTCCTCATTTATCTTTCCTTGAAGTAATAGAACTGCTTCGACGGCCATTGATTTTATATCATCCAATGACTGCAAAACATCCAAAATATGATTAGATATAAAGAAAAAGAAAGCCTAGATGACATGGAACAGAAATAACAACACCACACCCCTACAACTATAACACACAAACACATTTAATCACGCTGTACACAAACAAAAATAGCATTATCATGTTGTGATCCTCTACATGGTGTGATCATTCAAGAATGAAAAGGCTGTGTACTTTTAGATCATCAAACTGATTATGGTTGGTCAAACTAAAAAACAGTGGCATCACAATTTTGAATTTTCTTTCAAACCAGGAGAATTACACACACAAAAATCAAAGAGTTCCAATTAATTCACCTTTTGGCATTTCCTTAGGAATAAGTAACCAGAGCAGAAAGAATCACAAAATTACAGCCTGATGATAGACAACTGATGAAAATCATAATTCCCTAAAACATGTCATTTTTCGTATTTGAACTACTTTAGTGTATGGCACAGCCGACAATGCTTGTTGTATCTCCCAAGTCCCAACAGAGAACAGACTGGGTAGAATATCGAGTTTCATTTCTGGGTAAATGGCATCCATTCACAAAAAGTGGGCCTTACAATTTGGCAATTATATTCTGCAATTGAGCATAGGCTTTCTAAACAATATGTTTCTGGCTTCTAAATATCACTAGCTAATATGATCAAGTAGCAAGAGAAAAATAAATAAATGACTAAAAAATGAAAATAAACCAAAAGCACAAGATTTGAACTGATTTCCTTAATTGAATGTTCCTTCAGTTGAACAGCAAGCAGAAAATAAGAAAAGAATCAAAACCAAATAAAAGCACAGGCCTTAGGTCAATTTCTCAGATTAACATGCTCTTTGCTCAGTCAGACCATTTTGCCTCGCTTCATCTTCTTCTTCTTTGTTGTTCTATTATATTTTGGGAGCTTACGGTTTCATGTTCTATTTCACTCCCCGATGGGGGCCTGAATAAATCCAACGAGTGATTAATAATCCTGTTAGACATAAAAATTCCTTCTACACCTCACTGACAGTTCTGCCAGTTAAGCACCAGCTTAGATTTTCTTTGAAGCAGATTGATCAAGTTAAGCAGACTATGAAGATACATCAGATTGAGCCAATTAATCAACTGTTTTAAACTTGTATGCATAGGGCCAAATCCAAAACAATCAACCAAAGGGGTGTACTTGACCTGACCATCTATGTAATATCAAGTCAATTACCCCAAAAAATAACAAATCATAAGACAAGCACATACTACCGGAGTCTCATAAAATTTACTCAAAGGTCAAACCCTAGATGAGGTCCAAACAAGACACAAAAAGTGAAACAATACAGCTACCCAATACAAGGAACCCATCCCCAACCCTCGTAGTCTTTGAGCCTTGGTTCACTGTGGTGTGCCTTTTATTATAAACACAAACACAGTTGCAATAATTCATCATGTCAAATACACACATATGCGTACACATACATACATGTATGTTCTTTAAGATCAGACCACTTTGCTTAACCTTTTTTAAACACTGATTCTTCCTTCTGTTCTATTGAACTGAACAAGTAAACTATAACATTTACCCACCAGTGTGTACTGGTAGTAGGTAACTGGTTAAAAACTTAATTACTTAAATATTGGCTCTATGGTTAGCTTTTGCATAAATAGTTCAATGATAATATGATGTTTTTTTAGTATAACATAATGTATATAATTAAATGTGTGATTCACTTTTTTTCGTCTTAATTATTATACTTTCTGAACTTCTGTCTTATCCAAATGACACATGCCCATGTAGAAGTTGGCCACATGCTTCAGTCATTCGCCATAACTGTAAGTGCTGGAATCTCATTGAACACAATGAGGAACTTATAGTTTGAGAATAAATCTTGGGTGCATGTATGAACAAAGGTAAGCCAAAAAAAATCATCTAGCACATCGGCAAGCTAGAGCTACTCCAAACTCTTAGAAAATCGATCTACCACCAAACCTCCACCCCCAAACAAAAAAATATGAGGTACTCCCACCGACCAAGAAAAGGTCCACCTAACAATATCGACGGAACATAAAAAATAGACATGTTCAGACTTAACTAAATAGAAATTTAACATATTGACTCCATATCTCTCCAAAAGGAAGTGCGATTAATAAAGATCACACATTTTCAAGATAATTTCGCAATACAATTCTCTCTTCGGGACAAACATCTTGGTAAGTCGACTTTTTGGGATGGAGAGAACAATAATAATGATAATAGAAACGTAACAAGCACACACGTACAAAACTGAAAGAAAACAAATCGATGAACCTCTGATTGTAGAGACCATACCTCTGTTGCTGAAATTGTTATAATGCATTCATCACGCCTGGTATCATCAACATCAACACGAGCACCACTAGCTTCTCTGACACTTCTAATAGAAGCCCCACCCCTTCCGATAACACGCCCAATCTTGTTAAATGGGCATAGGACCCTTATAATTAATTCCCCTGATAGAGATGCACCAGCATATCCAGAAACCACAGGGAGAGCCGAAGAGTAAATTGGCCATGTGTTCCCTGTATCTGCATATCCTTGAAGTTCTGGTACATGTGAAGCACCTAGAACAGAAGGAAGAGACCTCGAGGGCACGTACGAATCTACACTCGGGTATAGACCAGCAGCAGGATAGATAGGTACATCAGAAGGTATAATGATACTTGGAGGAGCTTCAGGAACCGATGTTTCAAGAGGAATATCTTCCTTTGGAGCAAACTTGTACATAATTGAAGAAACTGCAAACAGTGCTTTTTTCACCGCCTCTGGTTCACCAGTTATCTATATTCAAACAAGGGTAAAAAGAATTATTAGCAAGAAAAAAAATGTGAGTATATGTGCATGTGTGGATGCTAGAGAGAGATAGGATCAGAATTCAGACACTGAGATAAGTCTTAAAAATTAAAAACTAATATTCTCATCTGCACTCGACCTCTATTAAATAACAATGATTGAGTTAAACTCTCATAGCTAAAGATCTTCAAAAAGATAGGCTTCCACCACAAAGAGACAAGAAAATCTGAGACCCCATAACAAAGTAGAACTCTCTCAAACAATATTTAAGCGGTACCACCCTATCGCAGTGGCTGCCATACACGTACTTACCCATTCAAACCATAAGTTTTGCTCAAGATCTCCTAAAGGCAACATTTAATGCAACATAAAAGTCACTAATAATTATGTAATGGAAACTGCATTACACTGCTGTGAATGGAGACAAAGAGGTAATTAATTAATCACAAAACCAATCTGTTCAGTCCTTGTTAAGAGTGTGACTGATGGTAGTGATCCAATAAAGTGGTTTTCACAAAATTTGATAATAGAGTGATGCAAGCTGTGATCAGCATGATTTTAACAAATAAATTTAAAAAAAAATTCTTCTCTCAGCTCGCATCTCTATGCATGCTTTCTGTTCTTCTCTCCCCTTCTGTAAGTAATTTCTCTGTGAAGGATCACTTCAAAGCGGCCGGTTCTATCATTTGCAACTCAAGAAATAGAACAATTTACAGAACACATATGTGGATTGTTAAATATTTAAATAAAAACCACTTCAAGCTACAACGGATTAACATCTTAACAATCTGTGGCATTCTAAAAGTATGATCGAATCAAATCTATAAAACCATTGTAATTGTGTGCCAAAACAAATTATTGGACCAATGTAATTGTGTGTTCTTTGAGTGCAACTTTAGATAATTGTTTTTTAGAGTAAAGGCTAACCTGAACAAAGTTGTCAAAGTCCATAGCACACGAATGAGCGGGATCACCAACATCTTTTGGAGTAACTTTAATGTTTGCCCTTGTCTTGCTTCTCAGTTTCTTTATAGTTGCCCCAGCCTTCCCAATAATATTCGCAGACTGACTAGATGGAACTAGAATTTGGCACTCTTCCTTATCTTTCCACTTCTTATCTGAATCACCAGCTGATCCCACCACATTTGCAATTGCATTATGCACCTTCAAAAGCGCATCCTGGGCAGCACAGACAGGTTCAAAATCACCAAACTCCTCATCAGGCTCAATATCCTCTTTCTCCTTGACATAACAATAGATTGTTATAACCCTGTTCTTCGAACCCGGAAATGGATCCACTATCTTTATCTTTGCCCGACTATCTTGTCTTATTGAATTTATGACCTTCCCACTCTTCCCAATCACGCTCCCAATAAACCCATCTGGGCATAGTATCCTATAAACAACCAATTCAGCATTATCCCTGTTATTATTGCTTCTATCATCTCTCTCGTTTCCTCTTCTTCTCTGGTTCTTGTTATCCCCACTGCCCCCGTCCCTCTCCCTTTTATTTCGCTGACGCCTCCCACTCTCACCCATACTTCACAATACGACTCCTGCAAGCATCCAAAACACCAATACATACAAGATCAAGTAACAGAAACTTTAATCACTCATCATTCGTAAAGCACGAAAAAACAAATCACTATAGCAATCAAATTTCCAGCTTCCTATAAGTTGTAGCCACTCAGAACCAAATAAAGATTCTGGTAAATATATCAAAGATAATTAAATAAGAAAGTTCAAGTTTTTCCAAGGAAACTTTATCAACATTTTGACGGAAAATTTTAAAATACTGCAAAAATAGAACACACTGAAGAAAACATAACAAAAATACCAGAACGGCAAGATATGCTACAAACCAATGGCATTCAAGTTGTAAAACTTTACAAAAGAAACAAGAGGCAGAACAATTGCAAGAACACGATGATGGCTACATGATAAGATGAGAAGAAAGGTGAAATTATCGAACCTGAATGCGATGAACGGCAAGAAGCACCCAAAAAAACCCTAGAATTCGCTACGAAGATGCGTGTGTATACGGAAGCGAAGAATGATGAGCTTTATATATAAAACAGATTCCAGATATTACAAAATATCCCCCTGGACTTTTTGACATGTTGTAAAATTGATTATTACATTTTTATATGTTTGCTAAAAGTTATTTGATTCTGAATATTAATTATTTTAATTATTAAAATAACGAGAAAGTTATAAGAAATTTGAATATTTATAGTTCGGGTTGTTTGTTCATTTTTTAATAGTTTTATTTAAGAGTCAGTCTCTCAATCATTAAGAGGTTAATGTTGTTTGGTAAAAAAAAAAATTATCTCTTAATGATTTTAAAACCCTCTGAATGATTTTGTATCATGGGTCTTCCATAATCATTCCCTAATTTCATTGTAAACAACTACAAGACAATTATATTTCATTTTGCAATATACCATAAAAATTTCTTAATCATTCTGACCACTTAATCATTCAGCACCACACTATTCAACAACTGTCAAACAGCCCCTTAAATATAAAACTACTTTGGTAGTTGCTGAATGATTTAATGCAAAATGATTAAGAAACTCTTATCGTATAATGCAAAATGAAATATAATTGTTTGGTAACTGTTCATAATGAAATTTGGTTTGTTGCATGGTTAAGGGAGGCACAAGATACAAAATCATTCAGAGAGTTTTAAAACCATTAAAAAACAGACCTTTTTTGCTAAATAAGATTCTTCTCTTAATGATTCAAATGTTGTCTCTTAATGAAACTATTAAGAGGTAAACAAACAAACCGTTAATTATTTATAAATTGTCATCAATTATTTGATTTTGATTCTTGAAGTTGTAATAATCACTTCGAAAATGCATATTCGTACACTGGCTTATTTTTTATGTATTTTTATATCATTGAAACAAATGGTGTCAAACGCCATGTGTTGTATTGATGTTTGTCTCCATATACATCTTCAGTTGTTTTCAAAATGATGAAACGGAAATCGTTGGATTCAGTAAAACCAAATATCAGTAAAAATAACGCCCACATTCATATTAGTTTGAATCTCACAGTACTCGTATTTATTGTTTGATATATAAACAAAAAGTTTCAAACTTTAGAAAATCTTATAGCACATGTCGGTCCGGTTTGCATGAAAATAAACATTTATTTTACACGGAAGTGCTTAGGAATAGACCTATTTCAAAGAAACTGTATAGATTTCAAAAACTATAACTTTCTACTAGAGTTGTTCATAGACGGGACGACCTGTTAGACCCGGTCCATCCAGCCCGCTAGAAATACAAGTTTGGACAACAATTATCAAGAAAATGGACGGTCCCGGGTTTGTTCTCTAAAATTAGCAGGGCGGACATGGACAATGTAAAAATAAATATGGACAGGTTCATCCAGCCCATTTATATTTTATAATTAATATTTGTTACCATTAATAAAAATTATACTAGTATATTTTAAAATTAAATTATTAAAGTTATAGAATAAGACTATTTGGCTAAAGAATTATGGAGGTTATTGATCAAAACTTGGGATGTTTGAAATTGACAGTAGCATGATGAAGCCATGGAAATGTAAATATTAATGTTATACATAAAAAAGCTCGTATTTAAAAAAAGAGATAAGCACGCTATTATTAATACATCGTATGAGTGATCATTCCGGCCTGAGCCAGGCCTAACATATTTTTTTTGTCCAACAAACCTAATATAATAAACATAATCCCATTTTTGCAGGTTTATGGACTTGCCCGTACCCACCTTCTTAACGGGTTGGGCATGCACACGAGCTAACGGGCTTATTATTTTTAAACTTGAAAAACAAAATTATATAAAGTCATGAGTTATATAAAACTATTTAAACTACATAATTTATTTCGAACATAAAATAAGACAAAAAAGATACCAAATTACATAGCTTATGAAAAAAATAGTATCAAAATATATGGAATATGAACATTTTCTCTTCAATGATTTATCAACTTTAAAAGTCCGGGTTTTTTCAATAACAAAATATTTATCATCTAATATTTCAATATTTCAGAGCCTCATAATCATTCTGCACTAAACCATTCAACAACTACCAATCAGCCCTAAGTTAATCTGATACCCAATAGAACAAAATTGTATTATTAATTTGTCTCATCTCTACAAGTATCAATCAAGCTATACATTTTCCTGTGGTATTTTTAGTTTGGTTTTTGACATAAAACCATACCATACTTGATGCAAACAATATTTTTAGATCATTTCTTTATTAATTATCCATGTAGGCCTAATCAATGACAACATAGTTTGCATCATGTAGGAATCGGTCCCCGGAAGTGAGGGTCGGTTTGTTCCGAGAACCATGTTTACGAACCTGAGCGTGAGTCTCGGCTTCGTGTTGAAACATGTTGACGAGCTCTTGCAGCTCCAGTTTCCGCACTTCAACCTGCTCTTCGGTGATTGGTTTTTTGAGTCCAAAGTAGAGCAAACCTACTGCAATTAATACAATTCCGATGAACAAGAGGATGCCTGAAAACAGACCAAATGCATAAGGCGTGTTCGTGGCTCCAGGGATTCCATCAACGTTGATCCCAAACAATCCGGTGATGATAGAGAGAATAAGGCCACACCCACCAACGACGGCTATATTATGTGTTACTCTCGTGCTTTTATCCTGCACGTTATGGAAAATTTAGTTATTTTGTGTCGATATAGAGTTCAAGATTTCTAAATGAAATGCTTTATAAGTATATAAAAGAAAACTAATGACTCCGGAGTCCATGAAACATGCAAAAGAGGAACCAAGAGTCAAGATCTTGTATGAAATTTTCATTTTAGGTGAAGGTATCATTATACTGTGTGAATATTTTCATTACGTTATATTTTGTGAAGATTGTAACCTGGAACATCATGTGAAGCTTATCTTGGAAGATGACCTTCACACAATATAAGGTTATCTTCACGTCTCGATATAAGGTTGTAATTTCATACCTTCTAACGAAGAAGGGGTGGTTCTCAATTTCTCATGAGAGCGGCAAAACCCAACCCGAGGAACCCAACCAACCTCTCAGAGTAAACTCGAGGTCAGTGGGTTCAAATCTCCTAAGACATCTTAACATGTTTGACGGTTTTTAAGGGTAAAGTATCTTGGAAACACTTGAAAGTGGATCCAAAGACGTAAAGCTAAAAAATTTCAATGGGAAGAGACTAATGCAAATGGTGGTGCATTTTTTCCGAGACAATCAGTTCACCTCCAGAGATGTTGAATTAGAACTAGCGAAATCCGATGATTTTAGAAGTAGAATGGGTATAGATAAAGTGAATCCTCTCTAGGTCATTAGGACTTTTGAACTTATAGGATTCCTTGACCTACCAAGGGGTCATTTACCAACACAAATTGGGTAACTGTAACCAGGTATAGTGCGATTTTGGGTAAGAATGCGTAAACTGACCCGGTAAGTGAAACAATAACGCTGTACAGGTAGGGGCTCAGTCAGTCCCTAGGTAAACATGCTGATGCTGACCGAGCCAGCAGTAGGTAAACAGCCCCTAAGATTTCTTAAAACATAAATATGTGATGATAAAACTGCCAATGTCTTTTCGATAAACAAACCTGCAACCATGCTCGTTTTGTACCCTGCATCACGTCTTGAACTGTAAATATGCGACCACGAACTGCTTCTTGCTCCTCAAGCATTTCCCTTGTACTCTTTCTTGTTCCCTCGAGCAACATTTTAGCTGCATTTCCCCTCAAATGTTGGAGAAGTTCAAACACTATTTCTTCCCTCGCATGCAGTGACCACTTGACTCGAATAACCTGCAAAAGGAAATGCCAGGAACTGAAAGGCAGAGTTGACCTTCTGTAACTTGACAAAGAACAGATACCCAGCCTTGATTCCGAGGGGTTGCTTCGCTAGGATGATTAGTCTTCTTTAATGTTTAAAAATTATTACAGATTAAAGAAGACACATTCTATGCAACTTTCTTTGTAAGTATATTTATTTATAATTCTATTTAGACTTATCATGTCAAGTAATTACATTGAGTATGCTCAAGAAAGGAAAGAAAAAAAAAACAATTGTAAATGGAGTAACATTAACAAACAATAATAATTGTAGTCACCGAAAAGGTATACAAAGAACAATTATCAAATGAAATGTTAATTTGCCGAAATTACTGAGACTTGAGAGGTCACCCCTGAAAAATAAGTTTTAAATAGACCGCTCAATTATGTTCCAGGTTCAACAACCATGATCCCAGCCAAAAAGTCATCATTATAAGTTAAAACATCCAAAATGACTGTTTTACACCGAATTGGAAGTTGACATTTTCAACCCCGAGGACTTGAAAGTATTAATTTGGTTTACGTGGAAGTAGTGATGATAAATTACAACCGATTATTATACATTTTCTAATTATAGTTCCAAGTGTAATCTTCTATGAGAATTAATAAAATTCAGTGTACAAATATTAATATCTAAGCTACAACTAAGGACAGAAATATGCAAATAGTTCATTTATAACTTAATATGATTAAATTAAAAATCTCCTTTCTTTGACTCTTTCGGTTTTGTTCAGGTTCCCTTTCTTTAGAGACCCATTCCTGATTCCATCCTCCATAATACACCACCGTCTACACCACAGACACTGTCACTGCACCCAGCATTGCCAATTTATTGGACTCAACAGATACTTGCTCAACAAGGTCATAGCTAAAAGTATCACCGGATATTCTACAGTGATGCTGATATTCATAAACATACTTCCTCCTCTAATCTGCCAAAAAATTCTACAATTAGGCTAATTTCTACAAAAGTTCAAATGGCTCCAAGTAAATCCACACTAGAACCATGACCATCTCCAGTCCTATCCCACTCATCATGATTTCCATGATAAGAACTCCTTTGCTGAAGATGGTATATTCATTTCCCAAACCTCATATCCAGTCTCAGACAGAAAAAAAAAAGATCTTTCTAAGATCAAGGACTCTTAGATACTGGTCGTATGGATTTTCTTATGCAATGGATGAAATATTTCTCCGAGTCTCGAAAGTGAGAAATTTTACTTATGATCAGGATCATTCAATGTAATTGTGACATGGCATGCCCTTACTGTTAAGTATGAAAGAATTTGAAGTAATTAAGCCTAAAATTTGATTGAAAGGGATCTCATTGAGCTTGCAGGATTCAGTGAGGCAGAATAGACTCAGCTGCCACAGTGGAGTAAGGAATCAAGAAGGGGCATCATGGGAAGAACAAGGACGTGGGAGAGTTAGGGGCAGGGGGTGGTGGGAGTAATTGGAAGTGGTCTCTAATTACATGTGCCAAAAGCCCAAAAAATTATTAATCGTGCAACACTCTTAAATCTAGTTATAACCAAAATTAGGAATATGTATTTAGTAGTAGCATTGTTTCAATCAAAATACTTGAACCAAAGGCTTCTAATACTTGCATACTGGACGAACTAATTTAATTAAAGTATATTGTAACTTAATTACAATCAAATAAAAAAACATATTAATTAAATCTATAACTTCTAAACACACCAAACTGTTATTTGAACTCAGAGGGTGAAAAGCCGATTTTTATTGCATGGGACAATGGCCAATTGAACAGAGTTTTAGTTGACTGCCTTATTTAAAATTTGTTTTGGCAGGGATGACCTCTTCAGTATTCAGTGAATAATTTAATAACCTTCCCATCCACTACCAATATTTAAAGAAATCAATAAATGAAAGAACAGGAAGAAGAATAGTTGTCAAGGATGATGCCTTGTTTTGGGCCTTTGGCAACAACTTAAGCTACTAAAATAATTGGTCATTGATATATAATACCACGATTCTGGTTACCAGCAAAGTGTTCTTCAGTTGCATACATATACTTGCTACATTTTGATTATGTTCAGATATGTCCATGCACAAGAGGTAACTTGGTGTCTGTTTCCACCGGCCGAACTCTATTTATCTAACCATTTCTCTGCATCAAAATTTGAGGTTGATTAAAACCAATTGGTTGCAAATAAATTTGCTGTCCGAAATTGCATGGCATAACAGTAGTGCTTAAGGTGAACACAACAGGATATCATATTGGACGATATGGGAGTGAGGAGAGCTTAAGCATGGATGAGAAGCTATTCCTTTTCTGCAATGGCCATACATATATTCTTGCAGCATCAAAGTTCTAGTTACACAAGGCCAAGGTTCCAAGTCTAACTATGCTGATCTATCCTGTTGGATATGTGAGGCAAATTTCACTTCCCTACATTATTGATGCATTTTCATTTCCCCTACCAAGTCCAAGCAGTAACCAACCTAAGTGAGATGGATATTTGTCATTGTAAACATTGTTGGGACATGACTTCCAAGTTCAGATTAGTTACTAATTGATACATGTAGCTCCAAAATCTATCTACGAATTTAAGTAGGAACACATAGACATAATACAAAAATTTGTAGTCCGGCAGCTAATACTGCAGTTGAGGCCACTGATTTATAGCATAACGCTGAGAAATTACGTAAATATGTACCAAGGTGCAAATCAGCAGGTGACTTAGTTATATAGAATTGAAAACAACATATTCTATTAGCATATGCTAGTTCAAATTAATAACCTCTAAACATCATTTTTAAGTTAAGATATGTAGTATATCTTGTTGCAGGCCAGTACTGCTGAACTAAAGACATCAATGCAAGAACCTAAAAAGTCGAAATTGCTGCCACTTCCCAGAAAGTTGGAATGACCAAGCTGAAGAAAGTATAATCCATGTGCAAACGAAGCAAAAACTGAATGAAAAATGGTTTACCCTTTTTCTCCGTACCCAAGTATTTTTTACACTTCTTTGGCTTCAAACCCTCTTACATTTAGACATGGCTTGCTGAGACCTCTCTTAGAAAACATCCATACAGAATATTGTTTAACAGAGTAGAAAAGTAGAAATTGTATCAAGTTACAACGATACAAACAATTACGCCTTCAGAAGGTGCACAAGTTATTGTCAATATGTGGGGTTATTCCAAGCTGGAATAGTTTCTCACAAAGCAATAATTGATTGGTGTTGTCACTAAAAGCATCAGTGGATAGCTTAGCAAAATTCTTTATTTCCTTTCAAGAACAGACTCGCTACAATTTAAAATAAAGAAATACAACTGTTAGCATCAATTCTACAATTATTAAAAGGATAGCAAACCTGTTGTGATAACCTTCTGATCTCTTGGTTGAGGATTACAAGGAAAAGGTTCAAATCTTCATTGTTTCTCCTATTTAAACATAAGACTACTGTTAGGAGTAAAGCGTCTCCAGAAGAATCCACTTTTAAGGCTATAATATATAAAAAGTACCTGTTAATGAACTTCAGTTCCACTTCATCAGCCTCCCCAAATATAGACTTCCGAAATAATCTGAACATTAACAATAATTGTGATATCTACTAAATAAATAAAAAGACACAAGACAAAACCACGACTTTTTAGAGTACAGTAAGAGAGAACGAGTAAATCATTTGTTACTTAGGAGAAACTGTGAGCATAATGAAGAGAAGGAAACCTTTCTAACATTGGAGACCATTCTACAATACAACAATAAAAACAGATCTCAAAAGGGAACATGATTTAGAAGAAACTTAATAATATGGTAGCGGTGCATTGATCTACAGGGAAGAGATTATTCTATCGGTGCTCATAACATAGGTTTGCTGTTATATATTTCGATCTTTTTACATAGTACTTCAAGCTTCACCAAGAGGCAGAGCAGATCTACTATATTTCTAAATGCAAAATTCAAGTATATCGCTATGTATGTATCTATGTGTGTGTATATACACATTTTTCTCCCTAGCTATACACATATTTAGTGGATACATCCATATGTGCGTAAACAAACATCTTTTTTTCTTTTTTTTTTGATTAACCTGGATATCCAACCTGCTATGCGAGCCGACTAATCCCGGGGCGACCACATGCTTTGCAGATAGCCCGGAGTCACCGCATTTGAACCTCCGTGGCCAGAAGGGGATTTTTATTCCTCCTTGGATTTGAACCTGAGACCTCCTGATACTTTTGACCTTTGGAGCCAAGCTCAAACCAATCAGGCACCACCCTTGTAAACAAATATGCATATCTGTGTATGTATGTGTGCGTGTTTGTGTGTGGCGAAGTACTTCATGTATATAGATTCTAACAAACATTAGTGTTCAATGAAGAGATTCACATGCAACCCTTAAGCACCGTTAATCATATCAGATGCCTTGAATAACTCATTATTGTTTCCATGATTTGGTAATGGAAGATGCAATGATACAGTTGATGAATGAAAAGTGATAATAGATAAATAAATATGTAAAATAAACAAATATGGAATTAGGCTCTGATACCATGTAAAATATGGAATTGTCCTTGACAACCTTGTATTCCAACAGGGAATATATAGATATTAGAAAAGAGCCTAAAATATATAAACAAGGAAAGGGAATATTAACAGAATATAAACAAATATTTTACATATTTATTTATCTATTATCAAAAAGTATACCCAGTCTCTTTAGTTGATAGCTTGAGACCATATAAATCACATCTATATGAAACCCCACAATCATGGGGAAGACCCATGTTGTACAGTGGGTATGCAAGTGCTGATGTGCATACCCACCAAAAGAGTTATGAGGAAGTTTTATTATGTAAAAATATCATCATATTTGGTGCATACTCAAAAATCAAATTGTTATGGTAGTGTATCCCTATATTAGAATTCCTAGATCAGCCACTGTCCACAATTGTTGGGACCTTGTACACATACCCTTGAGATTCTAAAAGCATTTTGGGGTTTGAAAAGATACATTAAATGCCACAAACTAGTTATCTTTCCATTCTAGGAATTGCAAGTGGAAAGAATATAATATATTGACATCAAATAATTTAGTTTTGAAGTATCCATGTATCCTATTCAAGTTTAGTTTCGACCTAATTGATTCATTATTTCAGCTTCGTTTGTCAACCTTCCATAAGGATGTCTAAGTTTCAAGTAGTGTTGCAATTTCAGTGTAGTCTGGGAAGGCATCTTGCTCCCTTCAATTGTATTCTCACTTGGATCCTTTTTGAGATCCCATCAATACAATTTCAATTTTCACCCAAAAAAAGATACCACCTCTATTAACCCTACCACAAAGTTTAACTCTTAACGTGAAACAAAGATATAATCTCACCTGTCATCCCACCGTGCAAGCCGGCTGACTAAAAGTGCTATAACTTCATGTATTGTTCGGGGTATATTATTACCACCAGCAAAAAGCAGTTCCTAGATAAAGGATAAGTTGATAAGCTAAAAACCAATATTATAATTAAATCATTAATACTTAGTAACTATATTGATCAAGACAAGGTCGTAGAAAAACCTGAACTTCTATGACACCCAAGACATTTAAGCTTGATGTATCTCCTTTCTGGTGCAGTGCAGTTATTAGAAAATTCCGTGCTTGCCACGAACGTAGGACAACTGGGACATCATCCTCATCTTTATACGGATCACCAACTGACTGACCCAACAGTTCAAACAGCAGACCACCAGCAACTCTAACTGGCACCTGGATAAGATGTGACCGCAATCGAAATTTCAGAAAGAATTGTCACAAGAAGCACCATACTAATTTTAAATTCTCTCTCTCTCTCTCTCTCAGTTGTAATAATTTAAGCCATTGCTATTGTATGCAATAACTAGCAGCAGGTCACAGCTGCATCTCCTTGGATTTTACTGAAAGAAGTTGCAAAGGGGGAAAGAATTGCTTATCAGTAAGAATTACATCATGTATTAAAAAATAATGGAGCATACAACCTTAAGAATTGTAGTTGTTCTAAGGCAAAAGGTTATAAAAGCTCATCCAAATTACCTAGCCTACCTCCAATTAAAAAACCTTTTGGTTTCTCTTGTAGTCTACTTTCCACAAAGTGCTTTATACACGAGATTTCTTGTGGATATCATTTATCAAGCCATAACGAAGTACTTGGATATTAATTGATCCCTAGACAGTCTATCTAGCAAGGTTCAGTAAAAAATAGTCAATATACCTCATATAAAAGGTGTTTCATCCTCTCGCTTATCAGACGGCTTTCATCTCTCAAAGCAATACTTACAGCAGGATGTAACCATGAAGCATTATTAAGCCACACACTAATGTGTGGATGGCTTGCAGCAACATGACACCACCATACAGGCCCTGCTGGCTTCTCCCAATAGGGAGCTGCTAGATCTGCAATTGTACGGTCATCTTCATCATCCATAAAATCAAACTGCTGCGAGACCCATTCAGCATTGTTTTGCACTGTTCCAACAAGTTCAGATATTCTAGCCCAACCAATTGGGACCCAATGACTCCCATCAAAATTTTCTACCTTGTGGGTTTGGAAAATATTGTCACCCCTTCTTTCTGTTAGAGAAGTGGGTTCTGATAAATAACCATCATACTGCTCTTGAAGAGATGCATCAGTCCCTGAAGACACCTGGTTCTTCATGTTACGACTGTTCGCTTGATGAGTTGAGTGGGTTTTTTTGTTTGATCTTGGCCTAACTGGCCTACTCTTTCCTTTGACATATTCAAAAGCGCATAAGAGTCCATCTGTCCAGAGCTCACTATCAGGAAAAGCTTCCTTGCTGTAATGATTTTGTTCCGGCTTTTCATCAGGCATATGCTGGTCCTCATCAATACGACCCATACTGTGTTTCACATTGGACAAGATACAAAACATCATCAGATCGCTATAGAGGTTCGTTATAAATTTTTGCTACCTCCTCATCAAGAAAAGATACATATTTCCTTTCGTAGTTTATCAAGACCTGCCAATAACTTACAGAAGTTAAAGTGTTCCCAAATTTGTAAAATTGTTTTAACGTGGAGATGCTAAACCATAAACTAAGTTTACAATGACCAGAAAAATTGTCATCCCATGCACTAAAAATATCAGTTTGATGCTCAAATTACCAACCTGGTCCATGAAAATACTCACAACACTAAAGTCTGAAAATTCTAAATGTCTCTGTATTTGCATACTTCTGTATTTAATCATATTTATATAGAGACTCAACAAACCATGTGTATGAAATAAACAAATATATAGAGAAATTCAAATTGACTATTTTTTCCCTTTCCATATAGGAAGACCGACTAGCTAAACTGAATCCAGGGAAAAAAATTAAACCAGCCGTTCACAAAATGTTCATGTCAATATCACTAGGATGTTGTGAAAACTAAGATCAATACCCAAAGATGAGTAAACCAGGGGTGGAATTTTGTATAGCCCATCCATTCGCACCCTGCTTTTAACTCATTGAACAACAAACAAGTGCGGGATTCAAAATCAGGAAAGCTCCATTCTTTTCATCATTGAAACCGTAGTTTATTTACTGGAACAAGTGACTAAATAAGTGCCTTTTCTGGTCGGATAGTAAGAATGAAAAGATAAAACCATGGGCTTCTTTGTTTGATTGACACTTAATGTTCCACCGCTTATTTGTTCACACGTCTCTTTAGTTAAGACTCTTTGTTTCTTCATCCCATTGAGTGTTAACAATTGAGCAAGACTCCAAATGAATCATAAAGTCAAAACAATTCCACGTGAATCTAATTTCCTTTTTGGACAAAAAAACATCATTTTGTTCTTGAGCCACACCACTCTCACACTTTAGTTTTCTTTCAGTTTCTGTATTTTTGTCTTTTCTTCGTTCTTTAGTATTATATTCTTGGCTTTTGTTTTGATTGTTTTGTTATATGTACATGGGCTGTAAAAATTGTATGTATCACTAAAGTTCTTTTCAGTACGTATTCATCATATATTTCAACTTCCGCAATTTCAAATTTCAAATTTCATTTAAAATTTCTCGGTCCAGAGCTAACAGCAACAAAATTGAATGACGTAAGAAACTAATTAAGGCAAGTAATTAGTCATAGTTTCCATATGCGGCACCAAAAGCAGGTTTGTACCAATTAATTACAGAGAAATCATCAGTTTAAACCCTGAAAGAAGAGGAAAGTAGGTCTCCAGCGATTAGTTAGAGATGTGTAGAGTGTGAACTGTGATGTTAACTGACCTTAGAGCTAGAGAGACAGCAGGAGAGAGATGGGGGTCGGAGAATGTGGGTGAGTTGCTTCCGGGAAGTGATTCCGTCCGTCGATGTAAAGATGAGCTTCCAGTATACGCATAACTACCACACAGCAGCGGGCAAGTGTCTAGATTCTACCGCCAGGTGGAGAAGGATCAAAGTATTCTAAACGGGTGTTTTGGGATTGGTACGTTCTTTATCAACTTATTATAATTTAAAATATTTTAATTTTTTAAAAACTTTTTATTACCGGTTTGGTGCAATATAAGTTGTTTATCCAAACACTTAAAAATGTTTATAATCAATATTATACCGAAATAAGTTAATAAGTTATTTTTATAAACAATCTCAAATACCCTATGATACATGGGTTGAGTTTGCGGAGCATAAATTGAAACTCAACATTAATTTCAGTTTAAAGCATAATTTATATATTGCTTTTGGAATTGATTTTCAGATCTATTTATATGTTTTTCATCGTTTTTAATATATTATATTTATTTAAAATAAAATATTAAAAAGTCAAAAAAAATTAGAAAAAATTACTTTCAACTCCAACAATTATTTTATTAATAGGTTTATCATTAATTATATTATTAAAATATTAATTACATTTAACAAAATATTATTTTTGTCTCTTAAACATTTATTTAAAATACATTTTATTAATAAAAAGTATTAAAATAATAATTTCTCTCTCTATTTGGAAAATATGAACTCTAAAAACGTAGTTTCCCAATAACCAAAAGTTCCCATCCGATCGTCAATCTTTCAAAATTTGGAGATTTTTATCATCTTTATCTCATTTCTTAATATTAACACAAAAAATAACATAGTTATAGGAACAAAGTGATTAACTCATCAAGAAGTGTTTTGGCTTTATAAAACTTGAATGAAATAGTAGAACATCGTTATTGTTAAACAATGTCCAATTTCTTAGATTTATAATCTCAACATTTGTCTCACATCTAAACTAATGTAATTAGCTACTCATTACTGAAAGTAAATTGCAAGAAATGTAAATAACATAAATTAAAGACATAAAGTAAATGAGTTAAAAATAAAGCGCGCAAACTAAATGACTTGAAAGTAAAGAACAAACTTTAAGGTACATATGAGACTTAATATTAAAATTGCTTTGAATCTTAGAGAGAAATCATTTTAGAACTGATTTTGGATGATTAGAAACTAAGACTCTTCCTCTCTATTTATACACAAATAGAGGAGCCAAATGAGACAAAATAGTGATTAGCAGACATGAATCTCCCCAAAAGGTCTTCAGATCATGGTCCTCTAGTAACAAAAGATGCGTTCAACTACTTTGCTCATTAAGCCCTTTGAAAAGCCGAAAACTACTGGATCCATGCTGCAGGAATGCTATAGCACCAAACAACCTGTAATATATAATAAATATTAATATATAATTTTTATTTTATTTTATGTAGTTTTATAAATACACACTCTCTCTCACACACACACACACATATATGTATGTATATATATATATATATTTATATATATATATATATATATATATATATATATTTTTAAAATGGGTTGAGTTTCAATGAGAAAAGTAAGAAACGATCTAAATTCATAGATCAATCCTAATCGAATATCAAAAGAGTTAAGGTGCACCAAGATGCACTAGATCAATTTTCGTGAGAACCACATTCATGTGTGGGAGTGAAATTAAAAATGATCAAGGGTACATATTTTTTCTTAAGTTTCTCACCTTAACTCTTCTTCTCACATAATCCTTGTATATATATATATATATATATATATATAGAGAGAGAGAGAGAGAGAGAGAGAGAGCTTGGTTCAAATACTAACCAAGAAATTTTTGTTAACTATACTAACCAGCCTAACCAATCATATTTCATCTTTACTTTATGTTCAAATGTAACTCATATATTAAATACAAGGGTAATTAGGTAATTTGACCATTATGTAACCCCCTAATAATTAATTGGGTGTTACAAATCTTAAAGATCTCACTAATTGATCATGATGTAATTCTGAATTTTATCTTCATACGTGTTCATGATCGTAATTTTCAAGTGATGTTCTACATATAATGATATTGTTTTTGTAAGTGTAAAAGATTTCCGTATCGTCCGAGTAATATGGATAATCCTATTGTAAAACATATTGACAACAATAGAAATGACAAAGTTAAAATTGTCTACGACTACGGTCAGAATTCGAATTCTGATAATGAAGAAGATGATCAAAGCGTTCCTATTGGTAAGTGATTAGTATGACATTTGAATTCATTTAAATGAACACATATCAAAGCCAATAAATGTTCATATCGATACATATGCACAATCACATCACATAAATATGAACAGTATCTGTGATTCATGTGAACACAAGCTTCAAAGGTGTTCATCTATATACAACAGAGTTGGCTCCTGAATATACAGAAGATGTTCATACGGTTCACATGTTGTTCATATGTCTAATCTTTTTTGTTTGATGTGCTTTGAGGATATACACAAGTTGTTCATATGTCTGACAACTCATGTATCAAAGATATATTACTTTTTACCTAAATACCCTTTGATATTTTGTTCACATATGTTAATTGAAAATATTAATTTAATAATTACTTTTTAAATATCATTAAATCACAACCGTTTATTATTCAAATTAACGACCAAGATCGGTTAACAAAGTTAACACGATAATCTTGGTTAGCATTTGAACCAGCCTATATATATATATTATATAGGGGCTCATTCAAGGAGAACTGATTAGTTTGTGGTAACTGTGAGATCCAATCTCAACCACAAATCAACGAATAAATTAGTAAATTAATAATTATGGTAGTTTGAGTTAAAATTATAATTAGAGGGCTTTTTAGGTGTTTTTAAAAAAACTCCTCTCTCATCTCTCCGACCTCCAATCTACGGTGAACATTAATCCGGCAGGTACCAAGTAATCACAAAGATACACAATGTGATACTCATTGTGATATACTATGATACATTGTGATACCAACTCAAACCTTAAAAACAAAGATACACAATGTGATACCCATTGTAATATACAATATGATACCCATTGTGATATACTGTGATACCGATTTCACGGAGGTCGGAGAGATGAGAGAGGAGAGAGGAGTTTTAAAAAAAAAAACCTAATATGCCCTCTAATTATAATTTTAACTTAAACTACCATAATTATTAATTTCCTAATTTATCCGTTGATTTGTGATTGAGATTGGACCTCACAGTTACCACAAACTAATCATTTCTCATTTGATTAGGCCCCTATATATATATATATATATATATATATATAGGCGAAAAATCGTGTGTGTGAGAGAGTTAAAGTGAGAAGCATAAGTAGGAATCTGAACCTTTGATCGCCTTTAATTTCAAACCCACAAATGAATCTCGCTTGATACGGGGATTGATCCGGTTCATCTCATCCTAACATGCATCCAAAGATACATGTATTTTCTTACGCTTCTCCCTTTAACTCTCCATCAAGAACCAACCTATATAAATAAATTTCTCATATATACACACACACATATATATATATATATATATATATATAATATATATATATATACATATAATATATGAGGAGCGATCAAATGAAAACCACTCCAATTTGTAAAAACCGTTAAAACTACTCTCATCCGTCGAGTTCATTGTTTAATCTTATGAAAAAATTTCATGATCTTGTGAAATTGTTTCATATAATACTTTTTTGATGAAGTTGTTTCATATATGGTTATGAAATTGTTTCATATACTATTTAATGAAATTGTTTTATGTATTTCTCTAAAATTAAAATAATGAAGATGATAATATCCATGATTAACATCCTCCACAATAAAAATGATTAATCAATAATGAAATTTTAATGAAATTGTTTCATATACAGAATCTTGAAGATTGTAATCTGCTCCAGAATCTTAAAAATTGTAAGGCTTAAATGAATGAATTCATCAAAATCACAGGTGAAATAAGAAAATTAATGCACATGAAATAGGTTTCATGAAAGTGAAACTGGTTCATGGCGTAATTGAACCAAGAGTAGTGAAACGGGTGCATAATGTATTTGGTTCGTCATCAAATAATTGCATGATGAAACGGGTACATGATGAATCTGCTCCATAGTATTGAAGATTGTAATCTGCTACAGAATCTTTAAGATTGTAAGAATTAAATAAATGAATTCATCAAATCAGGAGCGAAATAAACGAATCTATGTACATGAAACAAGTTTCATGAAGGTGAAACTAGTTCATGGCGTAATTGAACAATGAGTAGTGAACTGGTTTGATGGTGAATCTCGTTTCAGTGATGGTGTAGTTGATCCATTCAGTAGGTGAAATGCAAAATGAAACGGGTGCATAATGTATGCGGTTTGTCATGAAATAATTACATGCTGAAATGGATTCATGATGAAACCGGTGTGTCTTGAAATAATTTCATAATGAATAGGGTGCATATTTACATGGGTGTATGAAGGACATTAAAACAATTTCAGGATAAGGAATAAAAAGGCTATTGCATTATCGAAATTATTTCCTAACAAATAGAAAACTTTAATTTCCTAAATTAAAGAATAATGTCCTTCAATAGGATGTTACAGAAAATATATTTTTGTTTACCATTTTACCCTTATGGCTAATATAAAAATAAAATTTTAACATATATATATATATATATATTTTTTTTTTTTTAATTTTCTAAAATGAAGTAAACTAATCTTGACCATTGATCAAGAAAATAAATGGATGAGATCGATTTACACAAATGAAGACGGTTTTCATTTGAATGCGTGTTGATTAAAATATTTGAATGCGTGTTGATTAAAATATTTTTGTGGAAACATTTGACAAAATATTCATGTGACATGTTCGTAACGAGTAACATTCATAGTAAATATTGACACAAAGAGTTGATTCTTGGAAACGGTGACGAGACGTGAATTTCGTTTTTCTAAACTCGTGAGGTATGTGCTTGCTTTTTTATACCACATATCTAATTGCAACAAAAGGATGTAACCAAATGAAGGGGGAAAATGCAGAAAAAGATGAGACTTTTTGCTTTGTCATTCCTTCGATATGAACCAAACGACGGTGATAATTGATAAAAAGGGGTTACATCTAGAAAATTTATGGAAAAATACACCCACGAAATAAACTAACCAGAATCATCAGCTCACACGCGTTAAAACTGAGTCAACTCACTCGGACGATCAAGTATGTAGTAGTAGTAGTAAGATACAACTCTGAAAAAACCCTTGATCAGTAGCTGTTTTGCCATAGTTGTTGCGACTGGAGTTTTGGTTGGCCCTGTGAACCCTCTCCTCCTCTAGGATTAGGATTCTGATGTTCCCCACCACCCTGGGAATGGAAGAAATCTTGGTAGTTAAGACCTGCTCCACCGTAACTCTGCTGACCTTGCCTGAACCCACTCGCCTGCTGCTGGTTCTGACTCTGCAACCCGTAATACGCACTGGCTGGAACACCCCGCGAACCACCTCCATGAACCCACATTGGAGAGTTCTCATTCTGACAAAATCACACCAACATGGTTATAACTTGATGGATCCCTGTCTGTAAGATGCATAACCGCGGACACACACGGTTACCCCAAAAAGGTCAACTTGAATACGAGATGGAAAATAATCAGTTTCCACAAAGTCAAGCCAAGTTCATGAGTCTCCACTTGATGGATTACAACAGATACACAGCAGGCAGGACTAGTGCCACAGTTGAAGAGACAACTTGCCATAACAAAACCAGTGATGCCCAGATCACAAAAATTTGAGCTTAGATGCTCCCCAATATCTACCATATAAACAGAAACAAATCATAGAGTTCTAATGTACCTAACTCTACAATGAAATCGGCTTTATATGATGTCAAATAAGACTAAATGTCCTAATAAACTGTTTTATAGTTTATAGGACAAACAATTGTGCATACAACCTAAAAGTGTTACAATAAGTTAATAAGACGTTTTTAGACGCTCAACAAGTTCTTAGGACATTTTTGAAATAAAATGTCCTATTTTTTATCACACTTTTGAGAAGTGTTCAATGAACCCACATTTTTATAGAACACTTGTTTTTAAAAGACACTTTTTCAAATAATGTCAAGTAAAAAAACTAATAGGACCCTTAAACAACATATTAGGACCCTTAAGAAAACATTTTAGGACGCTTAAAATCATCCTATCAACTTACTGCAACAACTTTACATATGAGACACAATTGTTTGGTCCTATAAATTTAAGTCCTGCAAAGTAGGCTATTAGGACATTTAGGTGTCGTTTACCAACCGCTTATTGGGTAAGTGCCTACCACCAAGTCTCACCAGTCTCGCTTACCTTATGGGCTAACATTCTTTGCCATCAAAATGGATTGATGGTAAGGTAGTTGAACCAGTAAGCGCTTACCAAGGTAAGTGTTTAGTAAACGGCTCCGACATATTTGACGTTCTATAAAGTTGATTTTGATGTAGTGTAACAAAACCAAAGAAGGATACCTGCTGCTGAAGAGAGAGCAACTGATTGTTGTCTTTGTAATGGGCATTCAATACATCTTCATAACTTAGGGTGGATCCTGCAGGGCCTGCAGGTTGGTTGACTTGATAGTTTCCAGGAATTGGTGTTGAATTGCCAAATGAACCATAACCAGAAGCAACGGCAGCAGATTGAGGCGGCAAGCTGCTGACAGAAACACTATTTTTGTACTGAGGAAGAATGGCTGCCAACTGTTGATGATATGTGCTATTCCCGGCAAACGCTGGCTGAAAACCAGATGGCATATATGTATAACTTTGAGGCAAGAACGGATAGCTGATCATGTTGGCATAAGCTCCCAAAGGAAGAGTAGGTTGGGAGTAAGGGTGCACAGCAAGGTGTTGTGGAAGAGTAGGTCCTGTAGGAAGAGTGTTTCCTGCTGGAGTATGTTGTGCTGGTTGAGATGACGAAAGTCCCACGGTCTTTAAAGCCTGTTTAGACAAATAAATTTCTCAAAATTGTAACTAAAGAATAAACTTTGAACTCCTTCTAGCTCCGGAAGTTTTCTATTACCACTTTTCAGACACATACCAAGCCAATAAAAACATTATTTCACCATTGTAATTCCAGAATATTATACTTGGTGAATTTAGTTGTAAAGGCATGAACCGTATCATGTGACATGGGATTTTATATTGTGCGGACTTGCTATATACAACGGCACAATAGAATACAAAAATCCCATGATGCCACATGATTATTTGGTCTTCCTCAATAAATGTGATATGATTGTGTTTTGGAGTCTTTGTTTATCTTTTTGGAGCTTTTCGGAGCTTTTGGGCCCTTCATCTAACAAATCATACTCTAGGAGAAGAAAAGAAAAACAAATAACTTAGCATGCTTTCTCTTTTCAATGAGGAAGAGGCTAGCCACATAAGTTGATTTTTATGGAAACAGCAGGATATATAATAATACGCTTTCAGAGGCCAAAACCTAGCAGAAATGAATGAAGAAAATAAAATAAACTGTGAAATGTTGGGGGTGAAAACATGGTGGCCCGATAAAGAGCATATGTTCCACTTCCATTATATCTATCTTCTCTGTTACATTAGTTCTTAATCAATTTCAGCCTCCACTTCTTTGTTCTTTCTCCTTCAGCAATCTGCATCTCCTTTCTTTACCCTTGTCTACAAGGTTTTCATTTTGATTTTCTTTGAAAAATCACAATCCCCATTTAATTCATTTTTTCTTTTTCTTTCTGCGTTCTACTGTTGATATCCTTCAACTTTGTGCTTACATTTCACAGAAAACTGTATAAGCTGTACCGTTTGGTTAACAATTTGTTGGTTGTTAATTGCTGACAGTAATATATACTAGTTGCTATTGCGAAACATTTAATCAACTTGTTGTTTACTAAAAATTGGAATCCCACAACTAAAAACACAAAAAGATAACAAATTTATTCGTTCACAAAACATATAAGTAACTGGATTCAGTGCAGTACCTCGGTCATAGATATGGTTGGATCGCTGATGGAAGATACCGAGTTGCCATACCTAGTAGGCAAAGATTGACCAACTGAAAATTGTGAGTATGACAGATCAGATTCTCTGACAGGATGACCATTCGCTGCCAACAACGTACTTGGTAATGAGTTTGTGTGAGCACCCTGCTGCAGAATAGTCAAAGGAATAACTAACTTCAGTAATGCATGCAAGATCAGAACTAACTTGGAATCAATTGTGGACTAGGATAGACACATCTTTGACTCTATCGAATAATAGCACATCGCCATCATGAGATTCATGACATAACGCTTGTCGTTCTTAAAAACGATTATAATAAGTCAACCCCACTACCATATGTTATTAGAGAACACCTCTTAGTCTATCATTCTGCCAGTTTGAAGCAAGGTTGTATTATCATAACAATTCATAAAATATTAAATATATGGTAAGAAATCACCTGAGCAAAAACATGTAGAAGTTATCGAAATTATAGCCTTATAGGCAATAGAAAGAAAATATGAGAGAACTATACACATTATTACCATGACATTCAAAAAGGGAGTAGAAATTTGAGTCTGTGCAGGTGTCTGAGATTGAGGAAAAGAAGAGTTCAATAACTGGGGAGCATTAAATGTATGGGCATGTGTCGACGGAGGAAACCCATATTGATTCCCGTGTATCACTTCAGGATCCTCTTGTTTCAACACCGCACTTTGTGAAGCAGAAGGCAAATCATAATTTTCGGCACTTGCTCCTGTTCTTTGAACTAGATTGCTCTCTGATGTTCTTGTAGACCCATCCTCATAATACTCAAGATTTCTGCAAAGGGTGGTTAGATGAGAAGAAAGAGCAAAACAGAAAAATAAAACGACAATCGGTTCCAGGAAGAGGTTTACGTGTTTTCAGAGTGGTCAACAGATGAAGTAACTGGTTCTGCAGGTGCCTCTTCTATGTTGTTCATCAATGTCCGAGATGCAAAAGGTCCAGAAAAGCCAGAATTCATGCTTGCTCCGAAGCTCCCAAAACTTAGGTGTGAGCAATCAGCAGTATGAACTTGCAGATGATTCGGAATCACTACAGAAGGGCCATCCTCTTCAGGTTCTTCCATGTGCTTCTCTTCCTGTATACTTAGATTCTGTATATTTGCACTCACCGATGAAATAGGGGGATCACCTTCTTCTACTGAAACGAAAGAGACAAATTTTTAGTTGCTACTATCCCACTAAAATTTCAAATCTTCAAAGGACTCGATATGCTCAGGTTGGTCATGTAGGGCCAATTTGGGGGACAGAACAGGGGAAATATAGCTACAAAGGCAAATCACGCAACAAAACAGTAGGATCTATCAAGCTTCACAACCGAGATGTTTGACACCACACCAATTATAAGAGAAGTATATTTCAATAATAAACATTATAATCAGTTGATAAGTCGAAGAGTTTCGTCTCTATATAGGCCCAGAAATCCATAACAGAATACTATTTTCTTGACAAGGACAATAGTAGGATCTATCAAGCTTCGCATCCGATATGTTTGGCACCACACCAATTAAAAGAGAATTGTATTTATGAAACAAACATTCAAATCAATTGATAAGTCAAACAGTTTTCATTCTCAATAGGCCCACAAATCCATAATCAAACACTATTTTCTTTACAAGAAACAAAACAAATAAAAACAACTACTGAAGTTCCTCATAAATAAAAATGAATACTAACTGAAAAAATAGATGTTACACAAAAATATCTAACAACAATGACAACCCCTATCATCTCTTCTCCTGTGAAAAGTTCACCCCTGACAGAGTGAAAGCATAGCAATGCTCTCAGAAGATTAGCATCATGCTTCTTAAAGGCTTTCACGGTAATCAAGTAGATCGTTTTCAGGTTATCTATATCAATATCTACCACAAGACGCCGTAATCCTCTATTTGTAGACCTCATCAAATACCTCAATGGCATGCTATGTATGAAAAATAAGTGGGGAGGAGGAAAGGGATAGCTTGAAAATTAGTTAGATGATGGGTTACAATATTTAGCAACATGTCTCCATAGGCCCAATGTAATGGATAAAGTCTGAGACATCAAACACTCGACCTAAATGGCTATGCCTTTGGGAGACCCGACTCATTCGCATTGTTCACTGTCTTCCAAATATTACCTCTAAATTTATAGTTAGCAGTGGTCAAACTGATTTTCTGTCATTTCTCTGTGTGGCTAAGTATATTGTCAGCTAAAGATTCTGCAATCACATCAGTTCTATGAAAAGAACAAAGGCAAGAGCGGTAAACTATACATTAAGCTTGGAAAAAACTTATGCACATCACACTATCCCATCTGCTAACATGATCTCCTATCAAAAAAACATTGCTATAAAAATCTGCTAGACTTCTTATTGACCACTTCTGGCCGTGGTGATTCACAAAATAAGAATATGTGGTGTTAAGAATCCTCAAGAGAGTTTTATAACATCTCTCATGCAAATCACAGATATCACCTATAACTTTTGGCAGATTGCTGACAGCCCCCAACTGAACTTCTGAAAAATTGCAGGAAATAACAATCCTCAAGAGAGTTTTCGAAGAACATATCATGCAAATTGCAGATATCACCTACAACTTTAGGTAGATTGCTGACAGCCCCCTGAACTTAGAAGTCTGCGAAAACCCCACATTTGCAAAACAACCTGAACTGTCTATAAATTCAAAACAGGCCATGAAGCTTCAAGAAATTCAAAAGCTGCCCAGATGAAATACATCAATGACATTTTGATGACAAGGGACAGCCAACAATCAAACTCCTATTTACTTCCCCAGATCAACATATCACAAGTAATTGTGGCATAACAATCACTCCAGATCAAAGTGATTTTTGCAAGATGATGGAACCTCTATGCAGAGAACAGACCATTCAACCACTCCATATCAGACTAATCAAAGGCATCTCAGATATAAAAAAATGCCGAAAGCAAGATTCAAAAGGCAACAAAAGTGCTGAAGAGAAGATTATATTGGCACAAGTGGATGATGGGTGAGCATAGTCGCAAGGGTGACTAGCGCTGTTTAAAGGACGAAGTCAAGGCTCCGCCAATTTAGGATTTGATTCAGGGTTCCTAGTTAGCCCAATCTGGGTTCCTCTTCTTGGGCTATGATACCATTGATGCATGAAGGATCTAGGGCATGAAGTCTGGGAATATACAAGGGAAAAAGAAATGGGATTACAAGGAAGCACCTCCAACCCTAGGATCTCTTAGGCTTCACGGGCAAGCTGTTTGGCATCACAACAATCAAAAAGCAAACTCTCTGTTCGATTAATAAATGAAAATAGTCGGAGTCTTTAATTACCCATAAAACCATGATAGAAAGCTATCTTCCTGATGAGACACAAAACAAAAAGAAGCATCTAAATACTCAAGTTCAGACTAAAATTATCAACTGAAGAAAACAATGGGAAACAAAAGTAGTTAACAAAGAAGACATCCCAATCAATGAGGAAACCAAATTTAGCAATAAAAAGATATTACAAAAGCTACTTGTAGTTCTCCTCGGGTGCTTCTATTTGTTTACGCAAATAAAATACTTAACAAGAAAAATAAGCATTCTTGCTACAACAGTGAAAAAGGACCAATGGATATGACAACTTGCCAGTCATCATTGACAATATTATACAAATGACTCTGAAGCTACTAATAGCCAACTGCATTATGGACTTGACAGAATTTTCAATCTCCAGAACTAAGTCTCTAAAGCAGAAACTATATATCGTAAGTGCATACATCATGATCATCTAAAGCAAAACAACTCATCATGAGATCAATATTAAAACAAGCAAAGCACGAATTAGAATTTCAGCACCATGTAAAGCATCACACATTCACTGACCATAATGAACTTAAACATCAATAAACTTCAGGAAGATTGAGTTATCGTGCACATCAAGTGAACAAAATGAACCCTGTAGTAGAATGTCTAGCTTACCTTCCTTGTGCTCACAAGCAGCATCATGAGGGTGGTAGGAGTCCATGTTCCCGTAAGAGTCATTGTCATAAAGGGGTGCAGTCACAGAAGTATCCTCCTGCGTTTTCCTACTAGGAATAGAAGCAGGTCCGACATTGTTCTCGATATCATCTTCAGAACAACTTTCATCTTGTTCCTCAACCTCATTGGTCTCATACCCTTGATACTGGTTGCTTCTTTCAAAGGGCAAGCTTGATTGACCAGAATTGAACCCAGATTCTGCATGATTATCCAGTACAGAGTGCACACCAACAGCCTGTGGTTGCTCAATAGAGGGCCATTCATTATCAGGAGAAGCATACTGGTCAGCAGCAACACCATAGTCGGGATGTATCTCTGGCACTTGGGAAGCATAGTCCTCAGAAGGCAACTCATGCCGTGACACGTTGGGTGGGGGTGGAGGAGCAAGTTGTTGATTGATACTTTGCTGAGATGGGTTTGAAGTGCTATAACCCTTGTTCTGTGGCCTACCCATTTTAACAATGTCAGCCATTGATTTTTGACCAGAAGCACCCAACCAAGCAGATTGATATCCAGAAGATGGCTGTGAAACTGATACACCATCAACTCCATTAAAAGTTGGCACTTCAAGTTCAGGGCCTTGAGCATCACTGTAATAGCAATACCAATATACTTCTTAAAACTAAATTCTTCAAAGCATTAAGCAATCAAATCAACACAATTGCAGTATTATAGATTCCACCAAGGTAGTCACCAAGCCTTTATTGTTACCTAGCAGTCAATATACACTGCTGAATTGATGGAATTGACATTATAATACATCAGAATCAGTTAATAGATAACAGTTAGGGTCATGTAAGATCAAGAGAGAATAAGTCCCAAGGCATAAATAGAAAGTCGGTTATCATGCATGTCAAAGAGATTGGGTCTAAGGCCAACAAATTTTTGGAGGCGACTAACTCATTTTAAATGACAAACATCACACATACCAATCATAACAGCGCACAATAAACTCAAAAAGTACAATTGTTTCTACCATCAGCCTTCCAAGCCCAAAGAACGCCATCCCCATAACAAAGAAAAGGTAGAAAGTCGAGACAGAAAAATGTCTAAAACAAGAATCATGTCATATCAGAGGGTTAGTTTTTTCTCTCTTCTTGTTTATGGGGTTTTGGTAAAGCTAGGCGAAGAGCCAACCAGTTTCTACATATCTCAATTCCAAGTAGGAGAATGAGCTTTCTGTTGAGCTGGATACCTCCACAATTTTCAGCATCAACATCATCTTGGTTTCAAAGAGCATAGATGCATGTGCATGCAACCACAAAAAAAGGCCAGTCTTTTCAAACAGTTGCTAAATGGATTTATAGGTTATTACCCTACAAACTCCATAACAAAGAAAAAGATAGAAAGTTAATGTGAATGTTCGCACCCAATGAGATATGCCGGACAATACCCTGGTGTAATTCTTGAACCTCCCATGTATAAACCTAATGAACCCAATAACCACACAAAGTAGGAGGAAGGATAAACCATACATAGACCCTTTCTCTATCCCCACAGGGTAGAGAGGTGGTTTCAGTGAAGACCACCAACTTGCAGGAAAAAATATCCTTTTTGGTGAAAAAGGTTTTACCAAAAAATTGGGGAACATAAACGACCCCAAAAGCACACATAAGAAATCAAATTTAGAAAGGTTATGAGGAGCAAGTAGAGCAATCACGCACAATAAACAACATGAAAGTTATTACACCCGGACACCAATATCATTGGATTCAAAATCATTGCAATAAAAAAACATTAATGACCAACCACGTGATATAACCAAAAGACCACCTCCTGACAATTTTCGTGCAAAAGGTACTCAGTCTACCCATTCCTGCTAACCTGTCCAAGGACCCTGATACCTAGATTTCTGCTCTCCACTCCTCCAGCCCACTTCCCCGACCACATTAGCCACAAGTCCGTACGCAAAATTTCCCATCCTAATTGTGTCTCCACAACTCACCATAAATTCCTTTCCATACTCCTCTTTATCACCTTCGCTTCCTCCACAAACACATCGGAAACCACCCTTCACCTCCACCACCACCAAGTTCGTGATCATCATTATCCACCACCACCATCTCTATTGCTCAGTTTCACCCTCCCATGTTTGGAGCCCAAAACCCCAACTCAAAATTGTAGATTGCCTAAATCTGGTATTGATTTGACTATTGTCTTGATTGTCTTGAACTCTTGATTATTATCTTGTTATTGGTTTGATTAATGTTATTGATATTGGTTTGATTAATGTTATTGACCATTACTAAAACCCTAAATTGTACATTTGCCATTATTTTCCTTAAATTGATTTGATTTCATCATCTATTTTCCTTAAATCTATTAATTTGAGGTTAACTTTCTTGGTTTGATTTTAGATTTCTCAAACCCAGAATGTTGTCTTGTTGACGTTAAGAAAAATGTATTTCAGAAGTCCTGGATGCAAAAAAATATTAGAAACCTACAAAAGGTAAAGGATAATGAGAATCAAATCCTAAAAATTGGGAAATTTTACGAAATCAACCAAAAAACCGGAAGTCTCCGAAAACAATGGAATTCGACTAAAAACAAGTCGAACTCAAGACTACGTTGTCTTGCTCAAAAGATCATTCCATTTGGGGAATACATCTAGGAAAATGTATTTTATTCCCCAAATCAACACAATTGACTTTCCTTCGGGTCAAAACGTGTTGATTTTCGCTGGGGTGTTTGTGGGCCTCTAATTCACCTTAAAGGTGCACCCGCTCAGAAAATTTTATGGGTCCGCCATTGCACTTGAGCATCCTCATTTTCACAACTTCCAACTTCCTTTCATATATCGCCCAACACTCTGCCCTATACATGGTTGGTCTTATGTTATGGCTACCCTATAGAATTTACCCTCCCATTTTATGCATGTGTAATGTCATCCTTGACCTCTCCTTCCTTCTAAATCATCAAGCCTATAGTTTTCTTTTGGAGAACCTTTTGACCCCAACCCTCAAATCCCAATGCTGACTTCCAACCCTTCATCATTACCTTTGCTGAAATTTTCACCGTAGATACTTAGACTTCAAACGACTAATGTGCAAGGTGTGAGATTCCAAAGTCAACCCCACTCTACCAACTTAACTTTCACCTCTCCTTCGTTTCTGCTACCCGTGCAATGTACACAATTCATATAAAAGTAACTACAATTCATTCAGAGCCATGTTTAACTAATTTAGATATATTTCTTTGAAATGGCATTTCTTATTGTTCCACTTGCATCATTTTTTATGGAAAAACATGTTTATAGCGTAGTAAGAATTTGGAAATACAAACAGAAGACAAATAAGATTAAATTGTATGCGAAAATAACAGTTATGTTTCCTTGTTTGAACCTCAACAACGTTGACAATCTATCTGATTCAATCAAAAAGGATATATCAACCTAGTTGTAACTACAAGAAAATGAGACCAGTAAATAGAAAATATAATGGTTATCAAGTGTGCCTACAAAGGCCTCCTAGGCATGAGCAACCACCTATGATAGTTGATGATAGTTCATCTCTTAATGAGAATCCATTTCCCAAATCTTTAGGATGCTTGAAGCTCAACACTTTCAGGCCCACACACTTAAGAAAAGTATGATTATGATTTTACATCCAGTGAAATATACATAGCCCAATTTGAGCTACTTAATTGAAGCGGTCATCATTTTGGGGGAAATACAAATGATGCAAGTTCAAATAATACCTAAAAGCAGAAAAATATACGGTTGAAATATTTTCATAATACTTGTGAAATTACCTGAACCAGATAAGAATCAATGGAAAGCACAAACAGATCACAGAAACAACTCAAGACTAATGGAGAGAACTCATGCTTGATGACAAATGTATAAATTTGAAGATAACTATAACATCGAGATCCTCTAAAAAAGAAACGAAATAGAACTAGCTACACAAGAAACCAAATGAATATGTTGTCGAGAAATAATTGCCGCAAAATAATCAACTCCAAGGTATGCGGTTTAACTTATTAACTAAAAGGCCAATGAACTCAAACAATTATTTGTTTGTTGATTGTGCAGAATCGGTGAAACTATGTTATTTCATTTGAATTCATTAGCCTTTTAGTTGATAAGTTAAACCATACCACATATATTGGAACTGATTATTTTGTGGCAATTATTCGACCACATATTCATTTGGTATCTTGTGTAGCTAGTTCTATTTCAATTCTTTTTTAGAATGACGAAAATATTGGGGTAAAAGATTGAATTTGTGTTTAGAATTATAAAAAACATGAAATGTCGGAAGTCGGAACTCACACTATATTGGATGTTGATACTAATCCAAAAGATATACAATAGTTTTTTTATGACCAAAAAGACATGCAACAAAGACAAAGTTGTGACATATGAAGCTTTTTGAATATGAAAGGCAAGGCAGGGCCACAGAGAAAAGACACAATATGACAAGAGTTTTGATAATTAAAAACTTATTGCTTTAAAAATGCAAGAAAAAAGGCATAAAAGATGACATGAGTGCCCTATGGGGGTGAGGTGGTGCTCTACCTCCGCAAAAAACACATAGAATGTAAGCGTGGGTGCAAAGTGAAGTTCAAATTATATCTTGAATCTCCTTATATGAAAACAGACTAATTACCCACAATTTAAAAGCCCAATAAATTTGTATTTACTTGACTAACCTGAAAGTTGACTGATGCCAATTTGCATTACGTGGTGCCGCTTTAGAAACTGGAGCGGTTGAAGCTGCATAAGAACTCATCCCATTTTCCCTCTTGTATGTAGGTTTCCCATGCAATCCACCAGACTCTTAAAAAAATACAACATGTAAGAATGCATCTAGACATCAATAGTCAAAGTCTTTTTTCAGAATCAAGATCAAACAACATTTTTTGCAATTTGTAGCACTTGTATACCAGAAGAGTTGAACTGGGTTGATCCACTACGTCCACCATATCGGTCTGTACCACTTCTAGCCCCACGAGTTGAAGTGCTACCACCACCACGAGGTCTGGGTTCTGTTGTATCCTTGAACTGAATGCAAACAAATTCAAGAATAAACTACTCATACTAGCAACATAATAACATCAGATGTGAAGTGAAACATTTAGAGTAATTATATAGGAACGGATACAGGCAGATATCCTAACTCAACTGATGGCATGTGCAAGCCATTTGAATGCAGATTGCAATGCAAAAGAAATAAACAACAAACTGTGTACATCATAAATGTAATAAATATTTACACTGCAGGTAACGTGATTGGGGTGTCTCTATCCAGCGACCAGCTTGTGAAAAAAATTCTTGCAATATTGTGTACAGGAAGTAAAATCAACATGTAAATATAAACCAAAATAGTAAGGCTGCATATGGAGATTGAAGATGTGAAACCGATTATTGCACACGGTCAAGAAAGAAGTGTAAAGGGTACAATCTTATATCAAAATCGTAACCAGAAAGATGAAATATGTTTATCCCTAGTAGTATTTAGGCAGCCTGGTTGGGAATTTTACATGCATCAAAATAAGATTAGAATGGGAGAGTCGGTCATTGAAATATTGGAACCACGAGTTCCATGTAACCATGTCCACGCACCTCTTTTTTCTTTTCTCGTTTGCTCTTCACCTCATGAAAAGTATCTAGACAATCAGTAAACTTCATATTAGAACTTGTTTTAACATTGGAATAATTCAAACTACAGTTCAAAAGTTATATCTTAAAAAATTAAAAGATCGACAATTTCAGACTGAAACTAATTTTAACATTGGCAGAAGCTTGAAAGTCAGTTCAACCTTGAATCCAGCATAGGTGGGTCAAGCTGATGAAGTTACTATAATTTCAAATAAATATACAAGTTTAATACAGATCACTGAGAGTAGTCGAACAATAACACATGCATATGACCATAGTGCTTATTTAAGCACTATGGTCATATGCGATATAAAGCTAAAGACTAAATCAGTCTAAATACGTCATTTTCTCAGTCCAATACTAAAACAAACTACTGACACTCATACATTTAGTTATAAGTTCATGTACATATAAAATTTATGATGCCTCACTTGACAACATTCATGACCATTGTCAATCGGTGCAACTCGCAGCATGTGCATAACTTGAGCGTTAGAAGTTTTGGCCCTCCTGTAATCATCGGTTTAGAAGCATGTTTCATGTTTGGTGTGGTAGTTGAAAATTCTTACAAGCTCTGCACCTATTTAAGTTATTGGGCAAATGCTTAAAGAACAATCCTAGCGCAATACGTAATGCTTTATAACGAAAAAACCTATGCCTTTCATAAGGACAACAATAAAACCCCAGAAATCACAATAAAATACTAGATCAATCATGCAACGGCTCGGTTTCATTGCACAGCGTCTCTAACTTCTTTTTTCGTAAGTACAAAACCAACCCCTCATTAACCCACAAAGGGAATTAACAGTTTCATCAAACCTAAAAAATGAAAAGGCTACAAAGATTATTGCAAGTAAATATGAAAGGAAAAAAGGTATGTTTTCTAGAAAGAAAAATATATCAAAACAAACAGATTAGGAAATAAAATCATGAGAAAATAACTTAAGAGATGACACAACAATTCAACAAAAACGGCTTAAAAGATCTTCCTTTCCTTCCAACGAGTGCTTTATAATACCACGTTCAAATTAAACCCTAAGTACCAACAACAAAATACAAAATACAAAATACAAAATCTAAAAATTACAAATCAACTGAACTTTATTCCTTCATATAAAACGGCCACGGCTTCTTCGAGTCAATATTCAATATTCTATTCCCCCAAAAACCCATAAAGCCATAATTTACTTTTCGCAGAACAATTCAAAACAAATAACGAGGCTTCAATTTTTCCATTTTTACACTCAATAATCGTCCTTCAGACTCCTGAATTCATCAATTAGATTAAAAGAAAGTAATAGATTTAAAAAGATATTTAAAGAAAATCAATAATTGATTTCACCTTGAGAGAGGAGACGATTAACGGCTTCGTTAGGGTCCATATTACAATCTTTAAGCGTGGAGTAGATCTCGGCTTCCGGGACTCCGTTTACTATCTCCTTCAAACTTTGTACCATCTTCCTTGACGCCGCTGGTATTCCTTGTGATCCTCCCCCATTACTCCCTCCGCCGCCTCTGCTACCCATACGTGTTGTCAGATCTAACACTACCGTGACCGCCGCCGCCACCACCGTTTGCAGGTCTCTCTCGCACAGTAGTATGTGTCAGTTCAAACTGGAACGAAAGAGGAGTGATAGGCTGCTGCTAATGGAATCCGCCACGACCAAAATAAGAGACACAAGAAGCTCTCTCTCTCTCTCTTCCTTCTTTGAATACCTTCTCTTTGTCTCTCTCTAAAATATTTTTGTATCTATCTCTTTGATTTCCTTTTACACTTCCCTTTTTCCCCTTTGTAACACTTATTCGACCAGAAAAAACTGCTTATTATCGATTTGTCATTTGGTACCGATATAAGTTGTTTATCTAAACATTAAAAATTGTTTATTATCGATGTCATACCGAAATAAATCAATAAGTTGTTTTTATAAGCAATCTCAAACACCCCCTTAATTTAATTTTTATATAAATAGATGTGTATTATAGCAACATAAGTATGATAAATCTAATTGTGACATTTTATTTTTAAGTTTGATAATAAGATTTTGATAAACAGGTAAAAGGTTTTACACAGAGACCTCTGAGTCGGTTCATACTGTTCAGTCTCAAGTTCATCGTCAAGAAACAAATCAGGTATAGAGTGGTTTCCGTAGCTGGTTGATTTAAGAGTTCAGTTACAAGTCGGACATTATTTTGATCTCTGTATATCTGACATATACCCGTTGTTCGATTTCACCGTTGTATTTTGAATCATTGTTTTCCATATTGATTTTATTTCACCCATCAATTCAAATCATATGGTTTTAAAATCTAATTATTTATGTATTGAAACTTTATATCAGCATATTGTATCGTATAATGTATTTTTATTCTAACTTTTGACTCTTAACTTCTCCATTTTTCAATAATCTTTTTGGAGATGATCTCATGGTATGGTGTTTGAGATTGCTCATATAAACAACCTATTGACTTATTATGGTGTGACATCGGTAATAAACATTTTTGAGTGTTTGGGTAAACAGTTTATACCGATGTCAAACCGGTAATAAAAAGTTTTTTAAAAAATTAAATCATTCTAACTTATAATAAGTTGACAAAGAATTTTGTAACATATGGATTTATCCAATATCTAAGGTGTCTTTAGATCTTTTAAAACAAAAATATTTTATTTACCATTTATGTTTTATCAGATAAAAGACTAGTCTAATTAAACTGTTATTTATTTATTTATTTATTCAAGAGCTTAAAGCATTTTTATCATCATCTTATTGGATAAGGGGCAAACTCACGTCTTATTAGCCTCTTAATGTAATCTTATTGAGGGGGTGTTTGGGATTGCTTATTTTATCTGCTTATTGACTTATTTCAGTCTGGCACCGGTGATAAGCTAATACCTAGTGTTTGGATAAGAAAAAAGAAAACTGTTTATACCGGTGCCAAACCGGTAATAAGCAGGTTTTGATAAGTTAATCCGTCATGACTTATGAAAAACTGCTTATTACCAGTTTACCATTTTAACCCTATTACCCTTTATACCTATCTTTTTTCCTCCAGATAACATCGATCTCAATCTTCTTCCTTCTCCATATAACAACATCAATCTTCTCTCTGTCCTTTTTGGTCATTTTACAGATATAAACAAAATTTGTCAAACACTGAAAAAACAACTTATCAGCTTATTGCAGTTTGGTACCGCTGTAAGCTAATCCAAACACTTTTTACAAAACTCCAGTTTGATACCACATAAGTTAATAAGCACTTTTACAAAAAAAACATAAGTTGTTTTAAATAAGCAATCCCAAACCTTGCAATATATATAGACATTATTATGAGATCCGGTTTTTTAATGAACTTTTGATTTTATTAATTTGTTTATTAAAAATATTTAATACCCAATAAAATTATATATTAATAAATCAACAACGATATTTTGACTATTAAGTACTATGCTATTTATCATATTATAATGTATGTATTATAAATTTTGATAATCTATAATATATTATAAAATATTTGATAAAAATTCTTAAAAATCATTTTTTATGCATGAAGTACTGTTTAATTGATGCATATTACTTAAAATTTAATATTATAAGTAATTTTGCGTAAGTACAACTTATTAAAACTCAATTTTTAAATTTATGTAACTAACTGCAGATAAACATAATCAAATACAAGATAAATATATATTTTAAATATAGAAAATCTAAAATATAATTAAGATAATCATTGAGTTATAACAGAATGTTTAATTATTTTATAAAAAAAATTATATTATTAAACAAAAAATAAATTACTTTGTTGTTAAATCTAAATTAAATTATAATAAAAAATTGAATTAAATAAATTACACCAAAAAACGAGAATTACTAAATAGTCAATTTGATGCTAATATCGATTTATGTTTCTTCAAAATTTTATGTCATCTTCAAATTTATATTTCATTTAAAAATAAAAACATTATCATTTTCTCGAAATCACATAAAATCGTATTATATCGATAGAGACGAAGAATATAACTAAACATTAAAATCGAGATTTATCTCGCTATATTGCACGAGTACCCTTCTAGTAATTATAAATGAACATGTGGAAATTACTGAAAATGTATTGAAATAGAAATGTAATACTTGAACTTTTGTTGTCTGAAAATAAGTGTAATAGTTATAAGAGATTTTATGATAATTATCTTATATATTTACGAGTAAAATTAAAATAAAGTTATATTATCAAGGTTAAAACAGACAATTACTAACATTTGTCATTCATCGGTTAAAAAAACAAACAATATTATCAATTCTGTTTTTAGCACCACCTCTTATCAATTAGAAATGAAACAAAATTTCAGACTTTAGCACCTTTTAAGAAACAAATTACACCTGAAACACGTCTTCCAACAAAGATGTTCCTGTCTTCGACTCCAATATCTCTATGATATATCTAAGCTTAGAAATGGTTACATAGAAGCCGATAATTTGTCCTGAACTTGTGATGTTAGTGTAGAGCACAAGGAATTAAACCGGGGGTGGTGTATGGGCCCTGAAATAAACTCTTGGAAATCAGTCTGTATGCGGCCTCCGTCAAGTGTATTCCATCCCAACTCACATATGTATATGGTCGATCACACACGCTCGTGTTAGGATATCCACATTCCGCCAATAAGTTATAGTTAAACGGCCCTCCACCTCCACAACACGCCTTCAAAGCCCCGTTTGTGAATCCTACAAACCATATATTCCATCCCGACATCAACATCAAAATCCTAGAATGGCAAATGAATTGGTAGGTAATTTGTGCATGTATCTACATAAACGAAGACCCTTTTCCCATTCCGGACAGTAAACCAAACCAAACCAAACCAAAGGAACCTTGAGAATTCACATAAAATAGGGTCTAGGGAGGGTAGCATGTACACAGACCTTACCCTTATTCCTACACCACAAGGACATCCAATCCTTTTGGAGGACCCCGTTATACTTGTATCAAAACTATAAATCGACTTGATGAGTAATGAATAAAATAAAATATAAAAGTTCTTAAAAATTAAAACAACAAAAACGTTTTAAAATGACAAAGAAACATATGAAATTCACTTAAATAGAATCATTCTTCTAAAAAAAATCAAAAACAGTAAGGGGCCGTTTACCAAACTCTAATTTGGGTAAGAGCTTACCGAGTCACATTACCTAACTGGATGAATGCGGTAAGGACCAACAATCTATACCTGGTAAGAGCGAGGCAAGAAAAATAGTCTTATCCGGTAAGTGAGGACGATGACTCTTACCATGGTAAGCGCTTACCGGGTAAATTGTTGCATACAATGTCGTTTTCGTGAACTAAAATCTTACCAGATAAGTGAATAACAATGTTGAATTTTATTGGTAATCGCTTACCGGTTAAGTGTTTGGTAAACGACCCCTAAGTCGACTAAAAGATTAACAGCCTATTTATTATATTGGGATAAAACATTATAAGTGGGAAAGGTTAAAACATATATAATTGAGTAAAAGCTAAAACATGCATAAGTAGGCCCCGAAAATTTTAGGGTCCCCATTCCATATCTCAAATTGGGACACCCTCTATCAGTCTATCCTTTGGGGTAGAGAGGTCGTTTCCGGCTTGTAAAAATGTTGCAGCACGAGAATTTTATCGGAGGTCCACCATCTTAGTACTACTCTCACCGCAAGACACTTAACTAATGGAGTTCTTATGGAATCCAGTGCATTAGTGTTGGCCTAATCAAACCCCCATGTCAGTTAGTGATCGTGCCAAGTTATTTGAGTTTATAACATGTTACATACCAAATTTATTTGGAGAACCGGTAGATTTGCATGGCATCATTGTAGTAGTTAGCGTAGATGACAACGACATCAGGATGAAGCTCTCGAATCTGATTTAGTTCTGTTTGCAACAGTTCATTGTGGTATTCAGCAAACTTATTCAGCCGGATGAGGCAACCGGTTGTGTTATCATACTCTTCCGTTTATGAACCACATACCGTCAAGTACGATGAATGGCATTCAATTGGTAGGTTTCCTGGAACAACTAGTGTCTGAGCCCCCATCTCAATCAACTTCTGTATTTGAAACTATTAAACTCAAGCCAAAGAAAAAGCATACACTACCAAAAAGAACTCAAATAAAGGGCCTGTTTCTTGGTAGCTTAATGAGCTTCATGGAACTCACAGCTTAGCTTATTCGGTCAGCTATACATGACTTTTTGATAGTGACTTAATGATATAGAAAGTGACTTATTTAGTAAGCTTCTAGGGGGAGCTTTATGCAGAAAGCCAAGTTTTTTCCAAACATGTCCCTCTCAATTTAAAAACCACTCTTTACATCTAAGAAAAAACCCTCCCAAACAAAAATCTTCTCAATCTATACAGACAGATTAATCCACACAAACATCTTTATTTATACAGGACTTTATGGAAAACCAACCAAACAGCCCCTAAAACAGTTTGGTATATGCACCCGCATGTGGGGTTTGGGGGTGAGAAGTACACATGATTTAAGTAGCTTCTTACATTGACTGCTGACACAAAGTTAATAAAAATCGTAGTTACTAAAGTTATACAGATGAAACTTTAAAAGTAAGGTTTTCATGTTTCCTTAATCGTTGGACTCATATAGACACTCTAAATAAAGGTAAAATAGCAAGGATTTTATGTTTCTTTAATCATTGGACTCATATCGACACTAAATAAAAGTAAAATAGCTATAAGATGGAGATGTAAGTATGATAACTTATTTTTTCTT